TGGTCGTTCGTACAGATGACTGTCTTGGACAATTGGTCGTTACAGCAGGTTCTACTGTATTTGGCAGGGTAGTTTGACTGTTTTATTATCACATTTTATTACATCCCTGTCAGAGACAACCTGGGCTGAGTTGGATGATACAGCAATCCAGCAGACAGACGGAGATACTCCAAAAAAGTTTAAAACAAACTTCCCAACATGAGAATCGAACTCAGACCACCGGCCTGCATCAGGGAAGAGCCGGACCACAACACCACAGACTCCTGTGTCCCACTGGGGCAATGGAGTATCATCTTATCTTATCTGTATAACGTGAGGCAGCACTACACTGAGATAAAACACAGCAGAGAGCTGCTCTGGCAGCCGTGGTCCATTCTCTCTCTCTCTCTCTCTCTCTCTCTCTCTCTCTCTCTCTCTCTCTCTCTCTCTCTCTCTCTCTCTCTCTCCTTGTGCAAGTAACGTCAGGTGCACAAGGCAGAGTGCATCCGAACCCACGCTTGTCTGCCAATATCCATGTCCTCTAATTTTTTGTGTGTTTTGTTTTGCTTTATTAGGAGTTGTACGGCCTTTGCAAGCAATCATGTTTTTTGTTAGTTTGTTTTTGGGTAGGTAAGTGTTTTACGGCGCTCGCAACTGCATAAGGTCATATATGAGCGCGCGGGACACACTAAACATTTTCGATTAGTAAGAAATTTTGAATTTTGCTCGGGTGGCGGCCGAAGCCTACTCTAATCGATTTTAGACCACCATGGGATTTTAACGTGCACAACTTGAACACGGGGCCTCCTACATTTTTCGCCCTTATCCGAGAAGGCAAGGGTGAAGATTTTTCCTACCCGAAGATCGGGGATGTGGTTGAAAGACAGCAGTAAGGAGTAAAGGAGTAGCAGTGTAAAGGCTGCAGAAAGAGAAGCCCAGAGGAGGGGGCAAAGGAGGTGAGGGGGTGTATGCAGAAAGTGGAGACGAAAGCAGACGACAGAACATTGCTAGAGAGCAGGAAAGGAGGTGAAAGGAGACAGTTTTAGACAAGAAAATGTTTCCATCGCTACCCGGGACCTTTGAATGAGAGGCGAACACCTTAACCTCTAAGCCACGCCCCCCCCCCCCCCCCCCCCAAATCATATAAAGCTTAGAGGTGTTACAAGAGAGTAACAAACATGAAAAAGGAGGATGAGAACTTGAATATGGAAATACCGTACATGTATAATATGATAGGAAACCGGGAGCAAACCGCATTAGAGCACCCGCCAACCATCCACTCCCTATTGTTTTGACACATCCGTGTCCTGTGAGATTTCCTCCTCCCTTTATAACTGTAGGCCTATTCCTACACTGTAACACTTCTTCTTTTTCCCTTTCGTCTCAAGTTCCACGTCTGATAGGGCAATCTTGTCTCTGGCATACCCAAAGCATATATCCCAGATATCCATCTTCTCCTGGGTAAAGTGGCTTTCCCAATGATACAACGCCAGTACTTCATTATAATTTGTGATAAATTATTATTTCCATCTAAAATAATAAAATTCTTTGTAGACATTTTGTTTGAAGGGTGATCCACCCGGATCTTAAACTTAAAAAAAACAAAACCTGTTTCCTCAACAACTCACAACATGAGCTCCTTGTACATGTATATTATGAGATTGTAGGCGCCTACTGAAATTTTTCTTGACAACAAAATTTTTAAAAATATTTTCAAAAAGAACAAGAAGGGTTGTCTATTATGTCATAATTTATTTTCACACTTATATAAACAAAATCACAGCATAATATGACTATGACATTTCACCATCAGGAGACCTCAACAATGTTCTTCAAAAGGAGGAAACATCAAAACAGAGAAACCGTTTATTTTTCCACAAAACTATGATGTATAGGAGGAACACTTAAACCAAGACGATCTAGCATAGTATTCACCAGTACAAAATACATTTATGACAAATTCCTGACAAAACCAGAACAATGCAAAGAAAGATACAGCGATACATGTGGCAAGGCATGCATTTTAAGACATGAAAACAGTCTTATGAATCCATCCTTCTGGTATAGCCAGTGTCTTTCAAATACTGAGTCATTCCTTTGTTCAAACAAAATGAAAGTCATTTATAAAATAAAAGTCCAGGCAGAGTATAAAAAAAATGAGATTCTTCTGAAAATCTTGTTAGGATGACACCCAACCGCAAGAGAGACTGTCAAAAGAAAGATTAAAAATGTTCTTAAGGCTATTAAAACAGAAGAAATAAAAAGTGTCTTACAATCAGCTGTATGAAAATATGAACTCAAAAGTAATACAGGCAAATAAAAAGGGTGAAAATTTTGAACAATACAATTGTAATTACTCTATGGAGCTGTTTATTTACTTTTTTCCCCAGCCAATTGCTATAATTAACACATTTTTAAAAAAATAAACCAAAATATACTCTACAAACAAAGCCAGCTGCTGTCATCATTTCATTTCAGTCAGGAAAAGACAAGTGTAATGAAAGACAATGGATTGAACACTCTTTTTAGACTTTGAAATTTACTGAAATCAATGAAATGTTAAATGCAGTGCAGAAGAACGTCGCTCCGACTCTTGATCATGTCTGTGCATGGAAGGCCCCAAACATTGAATTTTTTTCGTAGATTACCTTTGGCTATATTTTTCTGAAATCAAGGAAATAGACTGTCTAATGTGAGCTCTACTGGTCGAATTAAGTCTGGTATTAAAGCAAAACATTTTGCTCTAGTAATTTGCAACTTTAACATATTTGCAATTTACAAGTAGGCCTACAGAAATTATTTTTTTCCATAAAAAAGTGTTAAGCCATATTTATCACAATATTCACAAGCAGGTCAACTCAAACACAAAACATTGGATGGTAAGAGTAAGGAATAAGGAAGAAAAGAAAAGAAAGCTGAGACAAAACACCTCAGTGAATATCACACAGGCACATAGAGCCCCCCCACCACTCATATAGAAGGGAAGAAAATGGTCCACACCATACAACTAAATCGTATCCTATCAAAGTTTAAACAGTTCGCTTGAATAGTGTAAAGACAATGTACCTTTATAGAACTACAACTTAAAAACTTCGCCTACCGCATAGACAACACATTTGACACCAAAGTGAGTATTTGCTGACAGGCAAAAGGTTGTAAAAGTAGACTTGTGACAACACAAAGCAGAGATAAAAAGAAACAAAGTGTAAAGACAGATAAGACATTGCTTCAGTGCAAACACAAAAGGGTGAAGTGGCCTCAATAAGCCACTTGGTCTCCATTCGCCCAAAAAATCGGCATTACCAAAGGCTTTTACTTAAAGCTTATAATGGCAATAGACATTTTGTCAGGCAGTTGCTGAAATCAGAGCTGCTTTCATTCGTTGGCCCAACACATAAATACAAACTTTCACCTTGAAAAGTTCATTAAAAAGAACAAATAACATCTCCTCTATACAACCAAGTACACTAAAGTCAGGTTTTTGCTGAACACATTCCAAGAGCTGACAACAACCAAGCTCCTGACCACATATGACATGTAGCCAAAAGCTGCTTCCCCTGGCTGTACATAGTTATGTAACTGGCAAGTGCAGAGTACTCCTGTGAGAAAAAGACTCTATGGAAACTCAACCTCCTTCAGTGCCTTTTAATTTTTCATTTAATCAAATCAATGGGTGAGTGCAAATAATGCCCACACAAAGTGGGATGTGAAGACCCATCTCAAGATGGAAGAGATGATGGACAGAGAATAAAAACACATCCATAAATGTGCAACACCTAATTTAACACAAAAACAACAGACTGCAGAACATTGGTCAATTGCTTGTACTCACCCTGGCCACTTTTTTTTATGTGGAACACATTTGCCTAAGTAGTCACAAGTAACATCAGCATAGCAAGTAAATTTCAGACCAATAGGCTGACAAACTTTTTTCTTCTCGTTTACCTCGAAATGTACATCCCAGTTTCTAGCATGAAGGCTGCTGTTCGTTGCAAGTCCTTCCGGCTCCTGTAGAGTTTTGAGTTCGTCTGTCTAGGGTAGAGCCAAAATTTCTTTGTAAGTGCTTCCAGCACTATGCAGGCTCATAGTAGATGGTTTCCTCTTTGTAAAAACTCCATCATTTGTTTTGGCAGAACCATGCCAGTGACAGAAAAAGGCCACCACAGTGTGACCTGGTAAAAGTGCTGAACAGGGACATGAGAGGCTAGGATTTTAAAGAACTTTTTCCTCACTGAACAAACATCTTCTAAGAAAGGTTATCTCAAACTGTTTTGGACATGTTTCCCAATTCAATATGTCTAAAGGCAAAGCCAGTATTTTGCACATGATATGTACCTAAATATTCACTAAAATCAAATAGTTACAAAGACATGATGAAAAGCATGAAAAATGCAGGACAAAAGCACAGACACAAAAAATATTACCATGACATGATGAATAAAGTTCTTTTCAACAATTTAAACCAGAGGTCTGATAAAAATTAAAGGATGGGAAAAGAAGTCTAAGGGTCATGTATGACCCCTTTCATTGCTAATTCTGGTAAAAGTTCTTTTAAAGTTTAAGAATTAACAAATAAAAAGAGAAGCAATCAGTTTTTCTTCTGTTCTAAATCTAATCAATTTTAAAATCCCAATTAGACATCAACTTGCTTAAACAGCAATAAATGCTTTCAATCAAAACGCTTCAGTTAAAAATACAATGTACAAGTAATAATTGAAATAGCCAAGAACAAAAACGGCTGGAGAATTCTGAACAGATTAACTGCCACTGTCTCCCCGCCCCCCCAACCCCCCCCCCCCCTCCCAATTGGTCATGAGGTCATCAGCACTACTAATGTTAAACATTATGAATCACAACCTAAAAAAAAATATAAAGACTTAAATTAAAAGCTGAGTGGCATCTCAGTTCATTGAGCCTGAACAACCATTGCATGAACACACAATCTAACAATAACAAACTAATTCATCGTGTCTGTTTTATAGAGGTAGCCTACCTTAGATTTATTTTTCCTATGCAACACCTTTTTGTAAAACTTGCGTAACGTACATAATTTGTAAAAATCAAACCAATCACATATGACCTGCTCTTGTACTTAATTAAAAAATTATCTACATGGCAAAAAAATGTTTTAAAAGTTGAACTGTTCAAAAAGATGATTATTTTCCAGGTGAAATGACTAAACTGGACAGCCATTGGAGGTTCTAATTTGATATATATGAAAGTTATAAACATGCTAAGTGGCACTTTTGAAAACACTGAACGAGACAAAAATTGCCAACCCTTTACAGAACTTTCTGCCTGTGAAAACTTTAAACACATTCTCCAACATGCTTCTTTTTCTAAGATGTCATACTTAGAAAAAAAACCCAAAGCAACAGACATTTTGAGCCTAACTTCAAAATGACAAACTTCAAGTGGTCAACAAATTATAAGGTCATCCACCTATTTTAATACAAAAACCATGTACTGTACCATAGTTTTATACCCGACCCCAAATATGTTTCCATATTTTTGCTCAGCAAGTTCTTTCAATTTCAACAGTAAAGATGTCTTTACCAACTGCAACCTGCACATGGCTAAGGTGTTTACAAGATCTCTGCTCTATTTGAGAACAAAAGAAAACTAGTAGCCTGACACACCTACCTCAGGGGTGTGAAAAATGACCAAGCAAGCAAGCTGGAACTAGAGATCAAACCAGATTCTTTGGTAAGAGAGGAAAAGCATATATATATCTAACCTCTGAACCTACAAAAACCCTGGGAGATCTCAGTTTTGCTGATGTGGGATATAAGCGTTTTTATGTGTGTGGTGGTGGGGAAGGGGTGGGATTGTGGTTGTACTTGTTTGAGTTTAATGTCCAAGTAATACTAGACACAGGTCATTCGTTTCCAAGGCGGAGCACTAGGCTCAGTGGTTTGAGTAGAGAAAAAGAAAGAAGACATGAAAGAAGACAGAATATACTCCAAAATAAATATCACACATGCACACCTGATTACAGACATCCACATCCATTTTTGCATCTTTAGAGGGGATTGGGTTTTTTTTGTTTGAGAGTACGTTTAAAAAGTCTTATGGCACTATTGACACAATTTGACTATTTAGCGAGGTTTGCCCTTCTACAGGTGTGCAGTGGATCTTTTGTTTCTTCCCCAAGTCAGGAAGGTATTTGACTCCTTAAATGATGAATGAGGTGATAGCAATAGAAAAAAGGTGCCAATGCTCTCAACACTAATTCATCGCCCTCAGAGAGAAGCTATCGGTACATGACCATAAGGATCAAATCCTCTTTGGTCCACCAAGGAACAATTTTGACTAATCAACCGGAAGACACTTTAGTCATGCTGACCTGCAATAAAAGTGGTACTTAGATTTCTTTTACAATGGAAAAGAAAACCATATCTATTGTCGGTGAATCAATCATATCGACACAGCCCACTTATTTTTTTAAATGTTTTTCATCAACAACATTAGCCAAAACAATGGCATACGGCTGACACTGAAACTGCATTAAGACTTTTCAACCATACTTGTGCACCAGAATAAGAACATTTAAAAGAAAAATAAACTATCTCTCCCCATTGACATCTGTAGCTCCATTCTCAATACACTGAGCAAGGGTTTGGTTCGCCTTCAGATTAACCCCATTTGTAAGTTTCTTGCTGGCTACTTTAGCCTCAACCTGACTAGACTGGCCTGCTCCGTTACTGTGAGTACGACTGCTGTCTACAGAGACTGACTCAGGCAAGAGGACTGACTCATCTAGTTTGTCCTGTTTGTATTCCAGACCCATGTGATTGAGGGGTGCCAGACCGATACAAGCTCGGAAAATGTTATCAATGCAAGCTCTCTGCTTGAAGAAGGCATTCATGATCGGGGTGCCGCGTGCAGTGAGAGGAGCCTTGCAAAGAATGCTCAGAATTGAGAGAGCTGTGTTAAATTTGTGAAACTCATCTTCACCCTCTTTCCGGAACTGAATGCGCTCACAGAGTTCAGCGATGATAGCCAGGTCCAGGATGAGAGGAGAGGCCAACAGGGAGTCCTCGCATGTGTTGTGAATGGCAATGGTGTTGCGTCCTCCGAGCATGATCTCAGAGGTATACTCATCCATGGCCCTCTTGCTGTCGCCCACATAAGGTACATATTTGATGACCACTGCATGATCCGGCTTCTCACCAGGCTCATACAGAATGGAGTTGGAGGCCACCATATCATCCACAACATTGGTCTTTGTTATCTGGAGAAAAAAATTTGCAGGAGATATAGACACAAAGATGGGTAAAATTTCATACTCACATTGGGTTAACACTCATCAAAGAACTTTTCATCTCTGGTCAATACTATGTGCTAAGATAAATTTTTCTTGCAATGATTTTTATAGCGACTATGTAGGTTGGTCTAATTCATCCTTTCTTTGGTATATTGACCTTTAACTCTCTCCCTCTCTCCATAAGTGAAAAACTTAGAAATAATAACAAAATGACCTAAAAATATGTGTTGTGGAACATTTCATTTCACACTGGTTTGGAAGAATGAGGTCTGAATTTCTGTGAGATCAAAGGTTTCCATTGGCTTTCCAGGAAAATTTATTAAGAGCAAAAGCATCAAGGTATTAATCAGTCCAACACCAGAAGGGTCTCTGTCTGCAACTAAATCAATTTGAAGAGAGAGGCCATTGTAAACCTCTCCACCAATATCATAGAATAGTGCCTATTAAAGTTTGCTTAACACTTTTTGTCTCATCACGTGCCAACATTTGAATATTTTCAAGGTTTAGTTTTAATGAAGGCCAGAAATTCAGCGGAGTGGTAGTTTACTGTAAACCAGGCCAAAACCATTGACATTTCACCAGGAGAAAACCAAGATAATTATCAGAAAACCGTGACACAAAGCAAGTCACACAACATTCCACAACTGTTAGTAGTGTTAGCACAGGACAAGAAACAGATAGAGATAAAAGGAGAAATGGAGCTACCGTATTTTGAAAAGAAGCACCACAGCTTACACAAAGTAAACACAAACATGACAAGACGAAGGGCGAATCAAATAAAGCAAAGGAACTTACTTCTTTAGAGCGGAAAGTCTGTGGAGCTGACAAGTTGCGTCCATCATTGTTGCCTAGATGATTGTAACTGACAATGGAGACCGGTTTGATGCCAGCGCTCACAAGGAAATCTACTAGGACAGACTTCAGCTTCGTTTGTCCAGATTTGAAATCATCTCCACCAAGATACACCTGCTTCTTCTCGGCAAGTTCAATAACACCTGCAATGACAAATATGCAAAAAGAAAGTTTTATAAACTGAAAAAAACTGCAGTGTTTGAAGAGCACAAACTGTCTTATCAAAGTAACTGTAATCTTTTTTTCTCCAGAGTTTGAGAGTCAGTTTTTATCAAAATGGCCAAGAAGTTTTAATCCAGTTCAGTAACCGTCCCTTTGAATACGACTGACTCTCCTGGGCCTTTATGAGTAGAAAAGAAAATATTTATAACCAAGAAGATGAGTTTGCACTTACACTCACATGTTTTGGTACACTTATCTGTCTTCACACTGTTCAGTAAAATATTCTGCACAGCACTATTTTCTAAAGGGTACAGTGTTCTTTACCTGGTACTAAAGCATTCTGCGGCGATCCATTGATGAATGTGACTCCTTCTAAAACAGAGGCAACAGCAAATAAAGTACTTTGAGAGATTTCTTCTTCTCCTCTTTCAATGCTGTTGAGCAAATTCTCAGCTGTGTCATTCAAGCCAGCCCTGACATCAGAAAATCGCTCAGTGTTAGCACTCCAGATCACAATAACCTGAAAAAGTAAACACAAAGCCAAGTTGATTATTCCTTGATGTAAGAAAGAGAAACATTTGCATAGAAACCTTCCTGAAAGCTGCAAGCAATATGCTGTGCGAGTTACATTTTTAAAATTTTAATCCAAAAGCTGACTCGTGACGTCTGCTTGTACAAAACTAAGTAAGAGAGAGAAAGAGAAAGCGAAAAAGAGAGAGAAAGCAAGAGAGAGAGAGAGAGAGAGAAAGAGAAAGAGAGAGAAAGAGAGGGAGGGAGAGAGAGAGAGAGAGAGAGAGAGAGAGAGAGAGAGAGAGAGAGAGAGAGTGAGGGGGGGAGAGGGGGATTGGGTTGGGCTCCAGTCCTCAAATGCTAACATTAGTAAGAAGTATTAGGTTCAAATAAGAAGCAACATAAATGATAAATGTGGTTTCTAAGAAGACTTGAAAATTTCCTGGAAGAAAAAGAAATCAGATGAGGTAGTACTTCAAGAAGCCCTCGAAGGCCATTCACTGATACAAACAATTAGGAAATAAATGCAGTTTATCATAGGACACTTGAAAAGACATTAGGGCCTTGAACGTCCAGTTCTCACTGGTAAAATTAAAGACAAAAGAGGCAGAAGTAGACCTAGAGCAACTGACTTGGAATGCTTAAACAGATGGATGGCAGGGAAACATCAGTAGTATATATATTTAGTTGTTGTTGTTTTTTTAGAGAATCTGAGCAAAGGAATGAACAGCAAAACATAATTGTCAATGTCTATATATACATCTGGCATTTAACTGATTTAATGATGATGAGGTGCCAACCACAATAGAGCATCTACCAACCATCCACATTATGGTATCCATAGGGGGCACCGAGCACCAACGAGTCCAACTTGGGCGGACTAAACGTTTAGGGCTCTGTCATACTTGGGAAAGCATGCAATACTTAATGCTTTTATATAAATACCTACCATCAAACACATTCTTAGGGTGAGTCAGATTTGGTTGACCCTTAAAGCTGGGGGGGGGGGGGGGGGGAGAAATTTATACCAAATGAGTGTAAGAGTGCAAAATCACAGGCATAAACTAACATACCTTGTCAACATTTTTCTTCATCCGAAAGTCTTGAATGTCTGCTCGGATCTGATCAATCATTTCTTTCTTTGTACCAGACTTCAGATTATCTGCACGATCTCTCTGGTTTGCAGCTATGAAATCGGGAAAGTAAATTGAGGGCCGAGGTTGAAGTTTACTCATTATGGGATACAACTGTCGCTGCAGATCGTAATCTAGAACTTGTGCCCGTCTCATAGCATCACCAAGGTTCAAACATGAAATGTCCCACCCTGAGGATTAACACAAAGTTGAACAATAAATACATGGACAGAACAGACCAAAAAAAAGCAATTTTTGTTAAGGCTATTTCAGAAAGACCTGTTTCTAAAAACAAGTCTGGTTTTGACATTAACACCAATGTTAGTTGGAGGGAAGGGAAAGGGGGGGGGGGGGGGGTGTGAAGGCCGAGAATAGAGGATGAATAAAGTGGTCCTTTGTCACTTTATACCAACATTCAGCTACTAGTGCCAGACTTGGACATTAAGTAAAACCCATGAAAGCAAAATCACTGCATGCAAACTGAAATGCATCCACAAAACCTTTACCATCGCAGAGAAATGAAGAAGTAAGAGCAGCTATTGGCACTGAGTCCTGCCTGCATTTCATAGAAAGACAGAGAATGAAATGGTTTGGCCACCATGATATGTCACCTAGCCGGCCAGCCTCGAAAGCCTATAAGACCAAGCACTCAGTCTATATAGGAAGAGGAAGGCCACGCAAAAGGTGGCTTGAGGGTGTCCGGGCAACCCTGAAAAATCACAATATCTTATTCTCAACTGAAAGAGCTGCGGGGCTGGCCTACAACAGAAAACAGCATCCCCCATCGACGTTTAACGGCAACAGAGGATGGAAAAGTAAAAAGTAAAGTAAAAGTAAGTCAATTCATAAAACTTGACAGTTGAAATAACAAACTCAAGCTGAACAGAATGAATGTTCTGAATCCTAAGAAGAGAGACAGTGGTGTGTCTAGGGGTGTAAACAAAGTGAAATTTGAGGAGAGCTAACCCAGAGACTGACAATGCCAGCACTACCCATTCCCCTCCTCTTCCAATATCAATTAGTTGTCATATTTTTTTGTTGCCAATTTGTCTTTAAAATTAAAACCATGGAATTTTTCAGCCTACTAAAACAGTTGCTCGTCAGTATCCTGTTATCACTTTTACTATCAGCATTGTTGATAGACGTTTAGAAAGCGCTCTATAATATCATTAAAGATCCTCCACCACTGCCATCTATGCACATATTTTTTATCGCAATAACAGCATTGTAGTGTATGATCAGCATGACAAAAGCTACATTTTTCCCATAGAAACAACTGGATCAGAAGACTTAAAATAAAGTTTGCATCACTCTTTCTCAGTCAACTGTCATCTTACAAACAATGTATATATATATATAGGTAATTTTGAAAACTTAGTAAACAAGACCTGTTGCATAATCTTTAAAGTAAGGCTTTGAGAGGATAATATATACACTGACTTCATTGCTGGCTTGAAAATACTATAAACAAGCAAACAAATTAACTGTATAAAAATTATCAGCTGAAAAAAAGCACTGATCCTGTGATATTTGGTATGGAAAGACTTTTCAATGGCCCACTGTCTTTACTGTATCTTAGCAGGAAGTCTTTTTAGGATCTGAAGACATTAATTTTTAACATCAATACCCAGGCTCTAATGCAAAACTTTGAATGCTTTGGGTGGTCTGCTTTTTTTTTTTACAGATAAAGATAAGGTGTAATTCGGAAAAACTTTCAAAACACACTTACCATCAAATTCAATGTCATTTGCATCCACCATGGGCAGCAACGTTTTCATAGGAACAAAAACCTCTCCTTCGGGCCCTACACCCAACGAAACAGTGCTGGCTTGAGTGAGGGAACCAAAGTAATCAGGTTGTCTCTCTCCTTCCTTTGTATTCCAAGTTATGCCAAGCTTGTTGGCCAAAACAGCAGCAGTTACTGTTGTCCCATTGTTGCCTCCCCATCCAACGAGCATAACACCAAGTTTGGGTACTTTCCTCTCAGTGCGGAACACATAGCGAGTAGTCTCAGGAGTAGCTATGAGAGTGTTTCCTTCTGTGCGAACTTTTGTTGTAGTGTATTCGTAATCACTTTCGATGTACTCATCAGTGTAGACAACATTTGGACTCTCAACTCTGATTTCTTTATTCATTTTGAAACAATTTTGCTTTATCCCAAAACAGCTGAAACATAAAAGAGAAAAGCAATTATTGTCATGTAAGAAAATAAAATAGTATATATAATTGCCACCATACACACAAAGAAAGAACAGTACAGGTCAAAATTGATAAATTACAAAAGACTGAAAACAGCAAAAGGAAAAACAGGTCATGCCTCAGCATTACCATCAAACATTTCACTCTTTGAATTCATTTAATTTTCATCCATAGCGCTTGGAAGCAAACAGCCTGTGGGAAAGGCAAGACCAAATACTCTTCACTACCAACTATAAAAAAACCCAACTATTCTTTCAACGAACATGGTTAAAAAGGAAAGCCTCAAAGGAACAAAGAAGAAGGCTCAAACACAAGGTCAGTAAGCTGGGAGAGTTAGCAGGAAAGAATGATTAAATGGCCCAAAAGTCCTTCATTTTAACTAGATGTTACAATTTCTGATCGTGTAAAGGAAGGTGGCAAATCCATAAAAAGAAATAAAAGGGAGAAAAAAAAACATGGCTTTGAAATCCTTTCAAGTGAACAAGAATTTTATCTATGTTTTTGTTTTTGTTTAGGTAACTGTCATACAGTGCTCGCAAACTATACATTTTTTAAATAAAAAGGTCATATGAGCACGCAGGACACAATCTAGAACATTTTTGGTTTGGTAGGAACGAATTTTGAATTTTGCCTGGGGGGGTGGCCAAAGCCTATTCTTTTATATCAATTTTGGACCACCTATAGGGATCTTTAACCTGTAATGTGCCGAACTTGCATACGGGACCTCCGAAATTATTCACCCTTATCCGAGAAGGCAAGGTGTTAGATCTTACCTACCATAAGATCACGGGTGTGGCTGAAAGACTGCAGTAAGAGAGAGCCATGCAAGGAGTAGCAGTAGAAAGACTGCAGAAAGAAACAGGACCCCAGAGAAGGGGTCGGTGAGGGGGTGGGGAGTGGGGGCAGAAAGTGGAGACGAAAGCAGACTACAGAACATTGTCAGAGAGCAGGAAAGGAAGTGAAAGGAGAAAATTATGTACAGATAATTTTGCGTCGCTGTTTAAATTTGAACCCGGGACTTATTGAATGAGAGGCAAACACTGTAACCTCTCGACCATGAGAGCCCCCGGATTTTATGTTGAAACAGCGAGCCTTCTATTAATCAAAATGTACTTGTAGCTCCTTATAATGCACTTTTACAGAAGATAAAAACCCAGAAAAAAAACGTTCGAATCGGGTAAATATTTAACTCTTTCCAGGTTTTTCTTGAGAAATTTATTTACAGGGCATAGTAGATATAATATATATATCAAGCCGTAAAGCAGAACAGACTGCTTGGACCATGTTTTTAGCTTTTTCAAGAACATTCAACACAATTTTGGCAAAGTATAAATATTTACTCAGATAAAATTTATCCTTTTGTAAACGAATATCTATCCCGTTCCAGGAAAGTGTTTAAGACCAGGAAAGGAAATTTATTTAAACTGACCTGCAGTTATAATTATATATGTTGAAATGAAAATCAAAATATCTCTATTTTAATGTACACATACAGCAAAAAACATAGATCTACTCATGCTTCAACTTCTGATGAGCTAATAAAATCTGAGTTTCAATACATTTTCTTTCATGAATCATGGCCCTTGGTTTTTATTGAGTTTTGATAAGCCCATAACTTCGTCAATTCTTCAGGCTGAAGCACTTTTTTTAGGCTGAAAAGAGTAGCCTTCCTCAAATTATGCAATGAAGTCATGTAAAAACCAAAAAAAACAAAAAAACAGGACAGATGCCATAGAATCTAGACAGACTAGGTTCTAGATCTAGATCTAGATTAGATCTAGATTCTAGATCTCTAGACATTTGTTTACATCCAGAGAAGAAATCCAGAAGTCTGGAAGACCAAATACTATTTGAATTAGGCTACACAAAGAGCAGGGATGCAACCTAACTGCAAAACATCAATAGGAACCCCCCCCCCACCTCCATAATTTTATTAGGTAGGTCAGGGGGGCAAGCCCCCCTGAAACCCCCCTACTCTTGACTTTAACGAACGAATCTACAAAATCCCCAGATCTAGATCTAGATCTAGATATAGATTCTAGATCTAATCTAGATCTAGATTCTAGATATCTAGATCTAGATTCTAGATCTAGATACTAGATTTCTAGATGTATACGAGTCTAGATTTCTAAATTAGACTAAATCTAGATCTAATCTAGATTCTAGAAGTACAAGTATAAAAGTATAACTATTTCCTGAACTTGTGTTCAATACACTACACACTTGATAACATTTACGCTCAGGTCAAAGAGGTTGTAATTAATAAACGGTTAAAGAAATAAACAAAATAAACTGTTGGAATTCACAAAGACGCCGTTTGTGAACTGACGCGAGTAGAATGCTACCAGTAACCTTATGCAAAACTACCGGTCATATGCAAATTAGATACAACGAAACGTGGGACGATGTAAATCCTCTGCTAGTTTTGAACATCCACACCGGTTCTAACGATTTGTTAACAGTGTCCATCAACTGCAACAACCAAAATGATAGTTTTGCGCGTGTTTTGCCCTTAAATATACATCTAGAATCTAGTTGATAAGTCCACATTTGGATCACACCACATTCCAGAGTCACTTCTGCCACCGTGTAACCATCGTACGATCCGCATCATGAGAACGCACCGGCCATTGCAATTGCATGGACATCGTTTGCGCAAGTTGAGCCTATATGCGTAAGAAACAAACAAAACACAAATAAAGCAGACGTGGCGTAGACATTTATACCCTCTACAACCATTTACAGTATTTTTTCCTTACCACAGGATAGATGAAACAAAAGTTCTTGAACACTGGAATGGACTTTACCCGTACCGTAACAGTCAGACCTTCTTCGTCTGTTGTGTCTGAGTCAAATCATCCGACTTCATTTATATCAGGGGAAACAACTAGGCCTAGGCTAGGCCTGTCGCACGCAAGAATAGCCAAGCTTTTCGTTTCGGTGTAAGCGTTTATGTGTTACCTCGGAATATACACCCCCAGTCCTTATTCGGTGTGAGATAAAGCTATCATTGAACCCTCTGTTACGCCCGCCTTGTTCCACATTGTTTTCACTCCCATAACTGCGAATATTAAAACATGCTTTGATTATGCGTGCGTGTGTGAATATATATATATATATATATATATATATATATATATATATATATATATATATATATATATATATATATAATATATATATACATAAAATTATTGCGTGTGTGTGCACGCGCATATGTGTGTGTGTGTGTGTGTGTGTGTGTGTGTGTGTGTGTGTGCGTGTGTGTGTGTATGTGTGTGTGCGTGTGTGTGTGTGTGTGTGTGTTTGTGTGTGTGCCCTCTTCCCTTTTAAAATAGCTCATGAACATTATTTTAGAGGGGTTTTGTTGTTAGTTGCTTTTTATGGAAGTGCAAGCGTAGAGTATGTCTACAAAATACCCAAAAAATGGTGCGTACCGGTGCCAACCAAAAAAAAAGTATTCAATTAAATTTGATTGTTACATAGGCGGGTACACTCATTAAAAATAAGAGGGCCTAGTTTTTCTTTTTTCCAACTATCACTGAGAGGAGGTGGATGAACAGTAAATGGGGTATGAGAGGGATATTAAGAGTTATGTGGAAGAGAGTTAAAGCAGCAGCTTTTGAACTCTTGATTGACCGCCAAAGATCGAGGGACATTTGTAATAAAGTATCACCCCCATGTGCTCATTGGTCAATACAAATGCAGTTCCCCCACAGTGAGTTCCCCACAGGCGCCGCGATGATGTCCGCTGTTCCCACAGAATTCTACACTTAGTGTAGAATTCTGTGGCTGTTCCAAACTTCAATCCCGCCAACTGTTGTTCTCGCAGAGTATGACGGGTCAGTATTGGGCCTATCTATATAGATCTAAGGGTCATATATACAAACTGCTGTCAGAAACACGACATATTCTATAGATCTATTATGTAAGCCCTATAATTATTACAGGACTACTCTTGCTGAGTACGACAGGTCGCAGTATTAATTGTGCCTATCTATGTAAGGGCCCGTAGAAGCTGCTGTCAGAAACACGATATATTCTGTATGTATAAGCCCTATGATTATAATAAAACAGGCCTACTCTCACAGGTCAGCATTGTGCCTATTTATACAAGGGCCCTATAAAGAGAGAGAAACTGCAGTCAGAAGCACAATATATTCTGTAAGTAAGCTCTATAATAATTAAAGGCCTACTCTCGCAGAGTAAGATAGATCAGCATTGTTCTTATCTATGTAAGGACCCATAGAAGCTGCTGTTAGGAGCACAATATGTTCTGTATAAGCCCTATAATAATTATCGGCCTATATAGATACAGGGCACCACCGTATTATACCCTGCAAATTGCCTTTGGCGGGATTGGGACAACAGACATCATCATCGGTGCTTATCGTAATGTATCATTATTATAATACCAATGTATAATAATAACAATAACAATAACAATAATAATAATAATAATAATAATAATAATAATAATAATAATAATAATAATAATAATAATAATAATGATAATAATGATGATGATGATGATGATGATGATGATGATGATGATGATGATGATGATGATGATGATGATGATGATGATGATGATGATGATGATGGTGATGATGGTGAAGGTGATGGTGATGGTGATGGTGATGGTGATGATGATGATGATGATGATGATGATGATGATGATGATGATGATGATGATGATGATGATGATGAGGATGATGATGATGATGATGATGATGTAGAATTATGTATTTTATTAGAGGACAGGCAACTAGGAAACTACAGCTCACACCAACGTAACTTTCATTTTAAATGACACCCTATTGAGAGTGAAATAATATATCATTTCTCCACTGCATGACTTTGACTGTCTTCCTTCCACTTTTCATCCCTGTCCTCCCAGTGCTTGCTGATAAAAGAAAACATATAATAATATGTAATATTCGAGTACTTTGTTATCCCAGTCAGGGTACGATATCTTAAGTATACTCCTGCTCTTACACACCTCCTTTAATGAGTTACTTTTTTCGCAATCCACGAAGGGATACGGGCCGAAATTCGACACTGTTCTGTAGATTTGATTCCAATCCCACTCAAGTTGAACATGTCGTTTTTCATTTCATACGTGAACTCAACAACCGCTGCATTTGATGCGTCTGTATTCCAGGGTTTTATTGTTGTTTTTTTTCTTTAAATGTACGGTAACTCATTTTGTCCACAAAGTGAGATAATATCCCAAGCCGCTTTAATTGTCGCATCATTTTCAGTAAAAAATAAAACTTCTTTTATGTGAAACATGTTTTATTGCACCCAACGTTAACTCGGATTAAAAAGTAATGGTGATAGCAAGAAAAAATTGAAACCCACTTATTTGCTTTTTTGTTGTTGTTGTTGTTGTATTTTTGTTTTGCATGTTGGGTGGGGAGGGGATTGTCTCCCCCCCCTCCCCCCAACACATATGTGTCTTTTTTAACTGATAGCTAAAGAGGTTTTATATGGCACTAGAGCACACAGCTGTGACCAGTGCAACGTCACCCCATGTAAATGAAAGGCGGCTGCGTGTGCCCACTTCAGGACGCTGAGTCAGTGAGTGGCCATGCCGGAGAAGAATAGAGAAAACAACGTCACGCTGTGCGTCCCCCGCAACGCCTCAACAGGTCTTCATAGAGTGTGAAGCGTTCAGCACACAGTGAGCATCAAGTTCACCAAAAAACAACAACTGTTTAATCATGTAAACGTGCATGCATACACAATGCTGCACCTCGGACCGATTTTGGGTTAGATGCACTAAAACGTGGGCTGCAAATGAATAATGAACAAATTATATAATATTATTATTATAATTATGGAGTTGTGGCGACTAACCTTAAGACCAAAAATAATAATTGTTAAGGTGTGTTGTTGTTATGTGTAGTACGTCGCACTTGAGTTCATGAGTAACAGTTCAGTGAAAGTGTTCAAGCTGTTCGGGTGGAACGTAGGCCTACGAAAGTTATGTCTCGTCCCGCAACGACTTAATGTGTGTGTGTCTCTTCATGCAACAGAGTTATGTTTGTTTGTTTTTCCCGGGAGGGGGTTGGGGTGGGGGTGGGGAAGGGGGAGACAAAGTGAATGACTGGTTGTTTTAAAATAAAACAGACAATTTTATACTTACAAAACGGATTGCTTTTAAATCATGTTGGCTACACAAACTCCTTCGCTTCTTCTGCTGATGCAGGGAGATTATTGCCTTCGTCAATTTTTGACGTCGTTTCCCATATCTTTTTAAATGTTATCCCTGATCAGTTTTTCTTGATGGTGTAACATCATCTGGCAGAAAACGTCGTATAATCCCTTTATTGTCTGATTGACGTGGCTGTCTTCGGTGGGAGTATGCTGTGAGTTAATATTATGATCTCAAATCTCGGTGAACGCATATATAGCCACTGATTCATGATCTCAAGACATGCCTTGTGATCTGGGATGTGAGGTTAGGCTTCACGGATCTAACCGGTCCCTCTGGTCCTATGAGGTATTGTCGGGAAAGTCCTGTCACACTCCCTCACTATCATATTATGTACATATCGTATAGAAGATAAGTCCCCCCCGCTGTCCAAACGGTGTGTAAACTGTGCATGGCTGTGGTGTTTGTCAGCTTGACAACTTGGTGTCAAGGTAATCTTACATTTTACGCAGTGGATCCTCTTGACGACATTGCGAGCAATAAAACTACTGATGTAATGCAATGAGTGCTGATGGTATTTTGTGGCCGATGTCAAAGTTCTAATGAAGGGTATTAAGACTAGGTTCATTATTTAATATAATTCATCATTGTTTCAAAATGAGCAATCTGTAGGTTAGGACCATTGTAAATCATTCATTGTACTAATCCTGAGAGTGCACCCAAAGGGCGGTTATTTATTTTAGGGCGCACATTTTTTTAAATGTGTGGATCAAGATTTTTAAAAATTTTAATAAAATGTTTCGTCGCTGGCTTACTAGAGAACCATGCTAAGATATGTGCACATTGACAAATTAATAAATGAGCCAGATTTTTTTTCCACGCGGACAGACGAAAGTGATTAAGCTATACACATGCTTACTCGTACTAACTCTTTGCATAATGTGTATGACAGCTGCTATTTCTCTCCTTCTTATGACGGTTTGTGCTTCCAAGCACGGCACAAGAGTGCACCATCGTTTTTTTTCTTCAGTTCTACACAGTATAACGACGGTATTAGTATTTCCACTAACTCTAATACTGTTCTCAAAGTCTGTTTACCAAGCTGAAAAGGACTCAACTTTGCTTTGCCGGCCATATAATAAGAATGCCAGATTTCAGAATCACAAAGGCGGTATTCTATTCTGAACTGTCCCCAGGGAAGCGTATGTTAGCGCACCAAAAAAGCGCTACAAGGACACCATGAAAGTGTCTCTGGAGGACTTCAACGCAAATCCTTCGACACAGGACAGTCTTGCTCCTGACAGACCCAGCAAGAGAGCAACAGTCACGGTGGACAGCAAATCGATGCTTCACGAATAAGAAATGCTGAAACTAAAAGAGAAGCCCGCAAGCTGAGCAACATCTTTTGCTGACAGCATAATGACGTACCATGACACCTGAGACTCTTAAATATATAATTAAATACTCTCTGATGACACCCTCGTTCGTGTGGGACAAGGGAAGCTACCCAAAGAATGTCAACTCAGTGACTTTTAGGAGAATTATCTACCTGGACCATGTCTGTCGGTGACCAAAGCGATCACTCTCAGGCCCAGTGTAAAAAAATCCAAGTTGGCCATGGGTAAACTTTTGGTAAAGATAAAGCCAAACATGGCTGAATGTAACAGAAACAATATTTTAACTATAACTGGCGGGAGAGGGGGGG